TGTGGAAATCAACCTGAAGCTTATTCGGTTTGCTCCCCAGCTGTTCTTAGTAAAAGGCTTCTACCTAAATTCTGTTCATTTGGAAAGGCACTTCTGAGTAAGGTGGCATTAGAAGAATGACAAGTAACACAAAGTTTCTTCCCTCTCCACCTCTCTTTCCCTCCCAGGTTTCCAGAGTTCAAACAGACTCTCATAAAAGTCAGGGAGAGCAAAGCTGGAAAGCAAGAGGAAACACTGTGTCCCAAGCATGAATTTTCAAGTAGGGAGGTATGAAACCCCAACACCTCAGCACTTGTAACAAAACACCTGTGGGAACTCGATAGGTGATAGGTGGTATACCTATTCCAGGTAGCATTAATTGAATGAGAGGAAAGTAACCCTATGCCTGTTCTTCAGGCTATTTCAATCCACCTCTGACATTAAGGCTTGTTTCAGTGGCAGGATGGCTGAGAGAAGCCCTGTGAAGCATAGCTCAGACTCTTTGCATGTGTTTAGAGGATGGGTGCCTGTCCTGCATGAGGGACTGCACAAACTTAGTGAAACATGCACTGTGGAGAAAGGCATGCCCCTGCAAGGACCATCTTGCAGGTAAAAACCCAAGTTCTGGCATGGGATTTGAGTCTACAAAGTCTGGGATGAATGATTCTTACAGCTAGCAACCAAGAAGCAAAAACAAGATACGGGCTATTAAAAGTGTGGCATTTATATCTCTAACACTATGAACTATTCAGCCTAAACAGAACTATAAAGCCTAAACATGCTTTACTAGGGGTTCAGTAGGAGCAAAATGCAGCACTGAATCAATTTGATCCAGAATAGCGTGGGAGGAGGGAGAGTTCCTTTCCTATTTTGAGAGCAACATCTATGCTACACATGCAGAGCCAAAGCCTTCTAATCCAGCAGGCTGAGTACATACTAGTTATTCAAACTCAAGAACGTGTGCATAAAAGGAATTTCATAAAATTAGTCCCTCCTGTCCTCCTCAGTTTATGCTTTCTGTAAAGTTCTCGTTCCAATGTTGCTACATTACACACTCAGACCCATCTTTTTGCCTCCCACATTGCCTTCAGTAATGTAAAAACATTAGACAAGTAGGCAGGGATATGTAAAAAGAAAGTATCTGTACGACCACTGATCTATCCTTAAGTCAACAGGCTCAATTAATAGACCATTTTAGTAAAGCAAAAATCAAGTGAAGCAGAATGAAAATGGGTAATGCTATTTCAGTCTCAATATTAGAAAATGTGTCAATTTTCTGCCAAACGAATGTAATGGAACTTCGTATTATTTTAGCAGATCATCACTCTGACTAGTGTGCAGAAAGATCTTATGGAGAAAAAAAAAATATATTTATTCTCAACTAATGAAAGCTTCTGCACATCTCTTTTATACAAACTTTTGTATCTTTATTTACTAAACACATGACAGAAGTTTATATCTTCAGCTTGAAAGCAAAGAAGAATGCAAATGTATGTGAGGAGGTCCAAGCAAGGAACTGATCCTAGTTTATGAGGAACAGCATGAAAACTCATACAGCACAGGGAAAAATTAGTTCCAAAAATACATTTAGAGAGAAGCTATGTAAATCACTGGCAATATAAGTATCATATTGTAACCAGGAAAGAGAAGAGATAACTAAATTCCCCTCAAAGAAGAACCTTGTTTCAGGAGTTCCTTTGATACCTTCCAGCTTGGGATGGTGAAAGCACAGAAAAGCAGCACCAAGGGAGCTTGTGAATGTTCCCACTGAATCCTGGCAGCCCCACTGGAAACCTCCCATCACTGAAACAACACTCTTTCCCCTCTTTCCTACCTTGCCCAATTATTAATTTTGGTGGTTTTTTTTTCAGCTGTTGGAGCATTTCATAGGGACACAACATGGAAGGCTGCCAGCCTTCCCAGAGCCAGCTCTGAGTAGGACACTCTTAGCTCAGCAGCAGACCACATAGTGCAGCAGAAGGAAACACAGGGCCTTGAACTCATGCCCATCTTGCTCTTGCCCTCCATACACACATCCTACATGCAGGTCTGCTCTGAGCCCTGAGCAAGTAATTTACTGGTGCCCAACACTGACTCCACTGGAGACCATAGTACCTGCCAGCAGGTCCTACCCATGGGCAAACCAAAAACTGCTCAGGATAAAACTAGGCAAATCTAGAAGCTAAGATGCCAAACTTGACCATTAATATCTATTTTTTGCTTCCTTCAGGAGTTACAGGAACTTACAGAGTAACTATAATAGTGACTCGCTATTTGGAGCTGACAAGACAACACTAATGTGAAGATCAGACACGGTGGAGCAGAGAAGTGTTGATACAAGCTGCCCTGTTGCCATGCCTGTCCTCAGACAACAGGAATACTGCAGGAGCACAGGACATGCCAGCCTCTTCCCTTACTCCAGAGGCAGTTTGATCTCCATTGGCTTTAGTATTGGGGTGAAGATACTATTACAATAGTGATAAATTCCTGGGGATAGGGTCCCCCAAGTAACAACTACAAAGCAGCCTGAACTTAGTGTTCACTTCACCTTCTTGCAAATGATCCCCAGTCTTCAGTCAATTAATAGCTTTAGTCTAGAACAACATCCTGTCATATACCATTAGGCCAGCCATCGCCTGTGGCTTTTGATTTGTGCAGAAAGTAGAGGCCATGTATGCAACTGGCAGCCCTAAAGGATGATACACTACCCTTTGTTTATGAGGAGGATACAAATAAACCACAGAAACACTAGCAATACTCATTTGTACTTATCAGAGTTTAAAATATTCTAGAGAAATCTTCCATGTTGCAACACTCATTCTGAAAACCATCTCTAAGGAATTGTAGGGAAAGTGAATGTACCATTTGACACATTAGGGACACGCTTTCTTCCCTATTACCAAGAAAACCAGCTTCTTGAAAATTCTTAAATAATGAAGGATTCAGCATTACACAACCATGCACAAAATACTACAAGATTGCAAGAAGCATTTAGTCACTATCATAACAACAAATCCATAGGGGCAGATTCAGTGGAGTCACAGACCATGTTTCTTTCAAAGGCTGGAAAAAACATGGAAAAGAAACAGGAAGGGATGTGTCAATCCTTCCATACCTCATCCTTTGACAGTATCTACTCTATGCCATCTGGCTATTAAAGACTGTCAGCACTTGAAGAATATCCATGATGCTTTCCTGACTGCTTCTACAGAAAGGAAAAAGAAATAAAAGTCCTAGAAAATTCAGCTGTTATACTACAAAGTGAAAGCTATCATCCTTCTGCCTCCTTTTTCTTTAGGGGAAAAAATACTTCAGCTGTACTTACTGTATTTCTTAGCAAAATTGCATTTTGAGAACCGAATATTGCTGAATCAGTGTGAGGATTATGGCATTGAACTTTAAAAACCCTGGTGATGGAGCAAAGCCCTCACCCTGCACACACCTCTTACTGCCCAACGTGTTGGAACAGAACTCACTTGGGAGATAAATACAGGTAACAGAAATCAACACTTAACTTGTCTATATGACATTTCTTATGAAGGGCGGCCTTACAAAGAGAGCCTGAATGTAGCCCCTGAGAGCTTTGGAAGGCTTATGTGAATCTCTTATCTGATAGGCAGAGGAGCGACTGGCCCATCTCACACCCAGTTGCCAGTGACTCCATATGATTTCACTGCCCCTATGAGCAGCAGCACAGAGCTCCTTGGCAGAGTCGATCTGCCAAGGAAGGTACACAGGCACAAGGCAGATACAACCACTACTCCTCCCACGGGCTGAGGGCTGGCATCCCGCCGGGGTTGGCTTGGGAGACAGCTCCCAGAGAAATCCATTTAACACATTCCTGCACAGCTTCTGCCGATACCGTCCCCATGGTCAAGCCAAGCTAAAAACAAACACCCCTGCCCAGCCAGCTGTCCTTGCTAGAAGAGGAGCATGCATTTTTACAGAAACCAAGATAACTGAGCCCGCTGTCTTCTACAGAAGCTTTTCTGGTGTGATTTTGTTCCATTACGTCTGCTTGTGTAGCTAACAGGTATCTTCATACAACATGTTACATTTTTAAATGCTTGGTTTGTTTTTCTGGACCTTCCCATATGTATTAAACCAAAGCATTTTGAAGCTACCATCTGTAGCACAGGAATTGACACATTCTCTGCTGTTTTTAGGTATTTGTTCATTCTAAAAGGGACTTTTAAATTGTCTGTTAAGATTTACTAAAGCACTATTGTATGAAACAAGCACAACAAGTGGAACATACTACAACTCAGATATTTCTTATAGATTCCATCCTCAAAATATTAACGACCATATTCAGTAAATGCAAGATTTACTTGTGAATATCCTTACTTTTTGTATCTTTTGTCATTAAACATGAAAGCTAAAAATACATGTACACCTCCCTACTGCATACTTCGGTCCACATTCAAACAGAAACTCCCAGACAACATAAACAACTGTGTTTCAATCTCCAATGAGCAGTGGGATGAACACTATAAAAAGAAATTAAGACTTACTATTTTTCCACCTCCTCTCAAAACACAAGAGTCTAAACCAACTCCTGTTTGGTCAGTTGTGACTTTGTAAACTCTGTATCTAACAAACCACACACTTCCAGGAATAGCATAAATCTCAGAGCAAGGATTACAAAATCATTCTTGGGTTTTGGTTGGGATTTTCTCTTTTAAGAACCCCAACAAACGTCCCTGCAAAGAGAAGCAGTTCAATCTGCTTTTATGTTTCAAAACTACAACAGATCTATTTATTCTGCTAGGTATACACTGAATGTTTGAACAGAAAAATTAGTCATTGGTCAGACAATATAGCTCGCTATCACTACACCCTTCATTTGAAGGAGAACCAAAGAAATTTATTTTATATTTCAACCAGCTGAAATGATGGTAAATTCTCCTGGGTTTCCTTTTCTTAAAAAATAAAAATTAAAATATTTTTTTTTTTAAAAATTAAAAATCCCAGCTTCTCATCTGGCATACAACCAAATGTTTTTTAGCCGCTGAAAAATCCTGCTATTGGTCAGGCTCGGCAATAGGCACATCCTATACACCTGGTGATGCGCGCTCAGCCCCGCATCCCGGGCCGGAGTCGGGGCACATAAGCCGGGAGCGGGGATCAGTCAGGCCTCTTCCCGGCGCCAGCCCCGGGCTGGGAGCTCAGGCGAGCGCGATGCCAGGTTAACAATTTGCCTCCCTCCTGGACGCCGCGGCAGCCCTCCATTTTGTCAGTCGCCTCAATTTAAGCGCTTTCCAAGGCGAAGGCAGAACTTCAGCATTTCTTCGGGAGCCCTCCGGGGCTTTAAAGCATCCTTAAGCGTTTTGCGCAGCGCGCTCGGAGCCAGCGCTCCAGGCTAAGTCTAGCAGGGTGGCCGCGCACGCCGCGGCTCACGGGCAGCGCCGAGCCCCCCGCGGGCTCCTTCCCATCGCTTCTCCCGGCGGCGCCTCCTCCCGCCCCGCGCTCCGGCGGCGCCCGGCTTCCTCCCCGCACGGGGAGAGGCAGGTGGATGTCGGGAGGAGGACAGGGAAGGGACGGGGGGCAGGAGCCGCCGCGGGCAGCAGGGTGCCGGCAGCAGGTAGGGAGGGCAGCGCGGGGCGGCCGCCGGTGCCGTGCGGTGTCTGTGCCGTTCCCCCTCCCTCCGGCCCCCGTTCTTACCGCCTGCGGAGGCGGCCGGAGCCCGCCCGGGCCGGGGCAGCGACCTGTCCACTGCGGGCGCTCTCCTCCGGAGGTGAGGGGGCGGCGGGGAAGGGCATGGGGAGGAGGGAGGGAGGGCTCCCGCCGCCCGCCTCTCCCTCACCTCCCTCCCCCTCCTCCCCGCCCAGCCCGGCCCGGCCCGGCCGGGCCCCCCCGCGCCCCTCGCCTCCCTCCCGGCTTGGCTTCCCCGGTGCGGCTCTGGATCGGGGTCCCCCTGCGCTGCTCCGGCACTTACTGTGTCACCCCTGCCAGTCTGGCTGCCTGTCCCCTCGGCAAGGATAAAATCAATTGCCCACCAGCCTCGCCGCTGCTGCCCGAAACAACTTTGTCTTCTTCCAGTCCCTGGGAAAGTGCCTCTTTTTCCTACTTCTTCAATGGGGGGGGGGGGGGGAAAAAAAAAAAAAAACCCAAAGAAAAAAAGGCCCTCCCAAAAACAACAACCAAGCCCCAGCAAATTTAAAAATTAGAAAAGAAAAAATATTTTGGGTTTTTTTGGTTTTTTTAAAGGGTGGGAAGCGTGAAAGTGGGAGGGGAGAGGAGAAGAAAAAGGAAATATTTGGGGCTTTGGAGCTCTCTTTTCCCTCTCTTTCCCCAAGATGGCTTGAAAAAATTCAAAAGGGACAGTAATAAGGGGGACACACAGAGAGAAAAGCTCGGGAGGACGGAAAAAGTTTGGGGGGTTGGGGTTTTTTGTGTGCGCGTTTGGTCTTTGTGTTTGGGGTTATTGGTTTGGTTTTGTTTTTAAGCCTTAGGATCCCAGAATGACAGAAGCGACTACAAACACTCGGGAAGAGCAAGCACAAGGAGAGGAACGAGCGAGAGAAAAGAGTTTTGCTGGTCCGTAAACTTCAAGCTGCTGGGATGAGGTCATTGGTGTAAATATAAAGCGATGGCGTCATTTGAAACCAATCACAGTGAATGAACTCAGCCGGAGGGTGAAGGTGGGGGGAGAGGGTGAAGGAGAAAGAGGAGGAGCAGTGAGAGAGGATCCCGGCGGCGGGAGGCGATGGCGGGGGCCGGATGGGGGTTATCTCACTTTCCGCAGCCTGCTGCCCGGCTGCCGCGGCCCCTGGGAGGAGCGCGGCCGCGGAGCGATTCAACCGAGCCGCCCCGCGGCCCTCGCCCCGCTCCGGCTTCTCCACAGGGCCCCCCCGGCCCGCCGCCCCTTCCCCGCTCGGCCCGGAGCCCGCCGGGCCGGTGGCGCCTCGCAGCGCCTCGGGCCCGCAGCCTTGTCCGCTCGGCCATCCCTCTCCTCGCCCTCTCCTCCCTGAACCAGCTGAGGGGGCATCCGTAAATACCGCCCTGGCCTTTGCTTTTGCAGTGTGCCGCTGTGCATTGCGGTGTAGAACCACCTGGGTGTGAAGGGTCACATCCTCCTGTGGTAGTGTTACTGGATGACACAACCACAGTGTTTGAGGGAAGGGAAAGGAACTTAAAGTCATCCAGTTCCAACCCCTGTCACTGAGGTGGGCAGAGCACCCTCTGGGTCATGTGGAACACTGGGGGCCTTTGGCCTTTGACCTTTAAATAACCTTAAATAAATTTAAAAATCTGAAGCCATACAGTGAAAATTTATGCAGATCCACACAAGTACATGTTATTTTTGCCTGACATGTATCTGTTATGGCTACTACCAAGCCTAACTGGTAAAGTACATCCTTCAGGGGCTGCATGGGTCCTACCTGTCGTGCATCCCTCTTCCAGGCATGACAGAATCTTCTGGTCCTCTTTCTTCCTTAGAAGCATCATTACTATGATGGCACGTTACCTGCTGGCGCTGCAGGACATGCAGGACAGCTTGCACACCAGAATTCAAACTCCAGTCCATCACCTCTGACAGTTTTGAATCCCTGTGCCAGAAACCCTTGGAAGACAGCATGAGAAAGAGGATTAACTGCATAGGTCCTTATGTTCTTGGTGGCTGTCTCTTCCAAAGTGCCGTTGGAAAAGCACATAGCTGTCGCTCACAGTAAAATGGTTTGGGTGTTTGGTGTTTCAGGAAGAAGGTAACTCAATACATTATATGGGGGGAGAGGGGGCTCTGTGCTGTCAATATTGACCAAGAACCACCTTGATGATGCCCTCGTGCTAAGGAGTTGTGAGCTATCTCATAACAACACTTTGTTGGCATCTGTACTGAACTCCTGTGTGAGGGAGTGCAGAGCATGCAGGCAAGAGAGAAGCCCAAGCTCCACAGAAGAGACAAAATATCAAAAGCAGTGAAGAAATTATAGTAAAGCAATTTACATTGGGATGTTCACTGTTTTGCACGTATCCTTTTCCAGTAGCTGAAAAGCAGTTTTGCCCTTCCGTCTCAATACAGCAGTGGTCCCAAAGATGCCTTTCTCAAACCCCAAAAGTGCCCACAGCATTAAAAATCTGCACAATTAACTGCTGATTAATGGAGCTAGAAGTGACCCATTTTGACAAAGGGGATCAGAGAGGGTGCCAGAGAAACTGGAGGTGACAGCCAGTGCCCCAGCTCTTTCATTCCAGAAAATTGCAGGAACAAATAGTTCCAGCATGGTTATCCTCACAAAGAGAAGTGGGGAGCAGTGGTGAGAGCTGCATGGTGAGGAGGAAAGACATTTCAATTCTCTCTTCCCTTTTCTCATCTCAACTCACTAACACCATATGTAACAGGTTTAGGTTTTGTTTAAATTGTGGGACTGTGAAAAATTCCTGACTGTAAAGCTGTAACAATAAGAAGTACTTGTGATATTTTGAAAATATTTTTTTTTTAGCTAAAAAAAAAGATATATGCAGAAAAGTTTGTACTAGAACAGCAAATTAAAACTTTTTCAGTATAGAGTCAGGATTTTTATTTTCCTAATGTAATAAAAGATGTGACAAAACCAGTGGCATCACAATTAATTCCTGCACATTGAAATTATTACTAAGAATAACTTTTTCTTTTCAGCCAGGCTTGAGGTAAAAATCTGATCTGGGAGAACATTGCAGAGTGAAACTGGACAGATTCATTGCTAACCTGAAGACAAAGCAGGAGTCAGGAAGACTCAAAGACAGCAGCATCAGACCTCTCTTCACTGAGAGTAGGAGCTGTATCCTTTGCCTCCTGTTTGCAGTGGCCAAACTGTGAATGTGTTGGCAGCTGACATCCCTCAGCTGGCCAGGGCCACTTCTGTAGGAGCAGAAACGCCTTTGCATGTCAGAGTCTTAACATCACTTAACTCTTTTTTTTCCCCCTCTGAGAGCCTTTCATTCCTCTCTACCATTTGTGCAGCAAGCTCCTGGAAATGATCTGAACTGCAGGTGCAAACCAGGAGAGTGTCTTTGGCAACCCCCTGAACCATCTGGGAGAGAGAGTGCCTGGCTTTGCTGGTGTCCCTGGCTGCTGACCTCTCATTCCCAAGTTTTTAAAGTCTGTCAAGTCTGAAATGTATTTTGCTACACTTCTGGTGATGGACTTTTTGGCCTAAGTTCACTGTTTGTTTTTGAGAAAATGGTACTGAAAGAGTTAAGGTTAACATTCCTGTCTTGTGCCTCCTTATGAGGCTTATGAGATAAGAAGTGTCTATATGGGGTAAAACAAGGGCAAAAGATATTGTGGTGGCTATCCAACCAGCTATGCAACAGCCCTTGAACTTTGACACTCCCCCCTGTCCTACCTGTTCAAGCCTCACTTCTGGCAGGAGTGCCTGCAAGTGTGTCACTCCTCACTGCTCCTGTTCTTGGGGGCCAGGGAGAGGAAATAGCTGGCTAATTTCAAGAGAAGGTCATGCACCTTGTTTACAAAGGTTTCTCTTTCTTTATTACTAAAAGCTAGTGCAGCTTTTTGTTCCTTTTCCAGCTAATGGATTTTGTGGCACTTCATTTGGTTAATCAGTTAGCAGTGATTAAACAGGAGAAAGATAAATGACAGCCTGAGTAACGTCATCATGATTTCTGTGTGGTGGAAAGGAGTGGTTTGCCAGGGAAACATCTTGCGAAATAAGTGAGAATTGAACTATAAGCAGAGAAATTTACCATGCTTTAAAATCTCCTTGTGGGTGCTCGCTCCCTCCATAGGCTGAAATGGAGTTGTTGAAGAAGTTACCATACCCAGACAGCCACCATCGTGGCTGTCTTCTGCCAAAGACTACCACCTTCCCTCCCTACCTGCAAACTGCTCACTCAATCGCTTCCAAATTAGCTGCTTGCTCAATCCCTCCCAAAGTCAACCATAGCAGTTTAAGCAGTTTAAATAGTAGAAGTCAGCTGCACTGGTTTGTTTTGGCTGAAATGGATTAAGGGAAGCCCAAGTCACCAGATGGAAGTGAGGTGAAAACTTTTTCATGGACAGCTTCAGGGGAGGTTGGGCCTAATCTGCTTTCAGAGCAGACTTCTGTACTAGACAACTGCTACCGACTGTTCTTCAGGGTATTTAAAAATAGAACTGTTGCCGAGATACTTGTGTTGAAACATTTGTAGCATTTTTAGATACCACTTCCTTTGTTGGCATGGAGAGCAGGGTACTGCAGTCAGAGCAGCGCAGGTTTTTGGGAGCATAGCAATGGGAACATGAGGATTTGGAAACCAATAGCCGTAGAAGGACTGAGGTTGGGGAAAGAGCAGAAGAGAGAAGTTTGTGGCTGTAGATCAGTGGGAGATCTCAGAGCTCAGCCCAGAGAGGAGGGATTTGAGCAGCATGGGAAGTGCAGGCATCAGAGATGTGGGGTGGCGAGTAGCAATGCTCAAGGGCAAGCAATGTGTGCATCAGACCTTGGAAGCACCATCCCTCTGGAAAATGGTTGAATGAGAATAGCCTCACTAGTCTGTCACTGCAGGTAGTTTTCATAGCTCTACTTCCCTGTAGCTTTTCCAAGATTCATGGCCCACCCAACAACCTGGGGGTGGTAGGTGTTGGGAAGGATGGATAAATATAATTACTCACAATAGTACAGCCAGGATGAAAACAATCCTCTCTACTGGCTGGACAATACCCTTACCTACAGATAAGTCCAAAAGTCAAATGGACTGTTCCATCTCACCCCTCAAAATGTATGGTTCACCCCACACCTGTAACCCTCCCCTGAAATATCAAGTGTCTGTAACCCCATTGGCCCACGTCTTGTTCCAGCCCACCTTGAAGCCCCCTAATAAGGGGTCTCTGAGGGACCAGACGCCCTCTTGGAACTTCCCCTCTCTTGGATCTTCCCCCCTCTTAGAACTTCCACCCTCTCCTAGAGCATCCTCTTTACCCCTTGTGTCTCTCCTCCCCCATCCCCTCAAGCCTTGCCACGTGCTGCGTCTGGCAGCTCTAAGCAAGACCTTTCTCCATCCCTAATAAACCTGATATCCTAAGAGCAGCCTTCAGAGATCTCTCGTCTCCATTCATCTAAGCCGTCCTGGAGCTCAGCGCTCCCTACAGGTAGGCAAGTGGAACGGTCTAGGTTCGATGCAGATAATGGGGTTTGGGCTGGAATACAAGACAAGATGATGCAATACTTATTCTCTGTAAGAAAACAGTGGGTGATTTGAAGCAATGAAAGAGAAAAGAAGAATAACAGCAACTGGAGCAGAAGAAAGTACAGAGAAAAAAGGAAGGTGAGAAATAGCTGTTTACTTCCCTGTAACTTCTTATTTCATAAACACTGTATACTCAATAGAAATGTACGTTATTCCTATCTCTTTTTCTAAGCCTTTTGTGGGACTGAGGAGCACCATGAAACCATGTTTTATGGATGTAAGATTGCGTTACTGAGATGAAGTATTTCTTCCAAGGTAGTATAGCAAGATGGTTACAGATCAGAGAAATGAACAAAATTATCTTAAATTCCTGAAAAGACTAAAGAAGAAGAAACATCAATTTCTGGTTCTAGGGATGGCCTTTATCAAGCTTAGGGGGTTTTGCTAAAATTCTAGTCATCTTAGAAAAAGAAGTTACTATTTTGATGGCCAAGCCACTTCGCTATGAAACAGCAAGATGAAGTTTCAAGGAGGCATTTGAAATTTAAGATCATAATAAATATTATTTACAGAAAAGGAGCATAATAACATGTTGTCATCAGGAAACAAAATAATGAAATACTGTTCTCAAGAAACAACAAGTTCAGATAAATCTACAGCAACTGAAAAACCTAACTAGTAGCATTTCTCACTTTCTAATATATCCAAAGACAGAATATCTAAATAAAAAACCCAAAAAGCTGATATATTAAAAAAAAAATCACAAACACTTTCCAGAAATTAAGAATTAGTTATCACAATAAACACCCACCTCACTCTTTGCTCTTACTCACTGTTAGTCACTTGTCTGTAGGCTGGTACACTTCTATTAAAATGAACTGCTAATGGGCTGTAAGCACAGATGGTGTAAATCATCATTGCTCAACTCACACTTCAGTTGCTATGCTAATTTATACTATCGGGAGAATGGCTTTGTGCATTCATGTTTTGTTTGTGGCCAATGATGAATTATAAGAAAAATGTATTTGTGTTTATTATGAGGGCAGGATAAAAAGTATATGAGGTCTTTGACAATTCATAGCCTCTTTTTAACTGCTTGAGTACTTAAAATTATGTGGAATATAGTAATTACCAGCCTTAAATAAATTTTAGACTTCCTGTTTTTCTAGTAATAAGTAGATATTATAAAAAGGTACAGCATTCATAAAATACTTTAAAGTTGTGATATGTGAAATGTCATCTGGCGCAATATAAATCATTAAGTACAAAGTTACTGTCTTGACAGCATGCTAAAATGAGCTCACAATCAAGAAAATAGTTTAAAAGTCTCAATGTAGAAAGAGCATGTATAACCTGTGGTAATGAAGACCAGTTTATTTATTTTAAAATACTTTCTTTTCAACATATGTACATGGGAAAGAAAATTTTCAGACAGTTTTAGTGTCTTCAGCATTTCTCATAATCCATTTTGCTGTTTCTGCCACCTTTTATAATCTCCTGACACTTACAGGTATCCTAAATATTGTGGATTTGATAGACTGCTGTTTATTTATTCTAAAGTACAGTTTGGATGTTACAGTAATATGCCAGTGAAACTCCATTGTTTTTCAAATGGATTGTGAAAGAGATTTAGATTCCATGGGGTTATTAAAATGTACTTAATCGATAAAAAAAAGCCTAATATGAAAAAGGGAAAGACAGACAAACCCATACTGGACATGAAAAATAAACTTGAGTTCTAAAAGGGAAAAGAAAACAAAGTTAATTACTATTTGTTGTTGCTGTGGGAAAGAAGGGCATGAGCACGACAGTGACCTGCATTTATAAGCTCTCATTCATATAAACTTTTAAGTGGATAACACCCAGAACATCAATATTTTGACCTAAAAGTAATAACATTCTTAGGAGAAGAAAAGACTGTTAACTCTGAACAGAGTCTTATTTTGTTGAATGCACCGGTCAGAAAATTGTCAGTCTGAGATTAGCTCAATTGTCAACAACAGAGAGCAGAGTTTATTGAGAAAGACAGGTGAAAATATCAGGTTACAGAGAAAAGGAGCATGTGAAAATTTCAGAGTGGGTCTCTTTTTTTTTTTTTTTTTTTTTTTTTTTTTTAAGATGCAAGAGGGAGGTGAGGTGATGGACTACTGGTTTATTTCCATATTGCCTCCTTGACTACCCTTCCATGGTCAGGAACAAGCTGACTTCTGTGTGTTAGGTATAGGTAGAAGTCTTTTAGCTCTGCAGAGGGGTTGAAAATCTTGCAAGAGCATATCTGCTTTAAAGCAGTTTGCCATTTGTTCTCCTTGTAGCCAGGGAAGAATCACGATTGTATTAAAACCATTTAAAATTACGGTTTATATTCAGCCTGCTAAAAGAAGGGGAGAAGATCAATGAAGGTGAAGCACAGGGCTGCAAATACGTTTTATTTGCTTTGTGAAGGTCT